CAACTAATAGTGGGATTGACCGTCACATTATAACGCCCCCACGACTGAAAGGGCGAGCATGTTTGGTGGGAGGGGGATTCGAACCCGCGACCCTCAGATTGCGAGTCGAGCGCCCTAACCACCTGGCCATGCCGGGCCAAAGAGGAATTATTATAGGAGAATAAATGGAATTGGACTCGTGTAACTCGCGAACTTCGGAGAAATCGAGCATGACAACCTGGCTGAAAAACCGACCAACACTTAGCTTTTACCATTATGATTTGTTGTAAAGAAACTAAAGCGAAGAAAAATCATGATATCTAACTTAAAGTAATTTCCATAAACGCAAAATATTACTTTCATAACATATTGGTAATTGTGGAGTTTTTATGTGAGATGTTTAGGTTATACATATAAAATTACAGTAATTTTACAGGAACACAGGAGTCAATGGTTGAATGTGTTCGTGACTATGATGATGTTGTGGTAGCACCATATTTTTGCGATATTGATAAGAAACCGAACACTGTTACACGGACATGCAACAATTTTCCCTGCCCACCAAGGTAAGTTTTTCTTCTTCTTTTTTATCATTAGTTTAGTGTAGTAGTAAAAACAACAACAACAAAAAAAAAAAAACTGAGCACCGTTGGTAGACCTGTCATAACTTCATTTTGTATTTTGTGGACAGTCACGTTTCTCAGAAAACGTGCTTTGTCTTGCCCTGAGAGTGTCTGCTCTCGAGTTATCATAACCAGATGGCAGCGACATCTAGGTTTTTGGAGGTAAAAACTGCTAGTATGGAAGAAGAAAGCTAAGCCTCATGTTGATCGAAATACAAAAACCAGCCTTCAAGTTACCGACTTGTTTTCATACCTGTCATTATCGGTTGGACTCCCATACTGCATCATATTGAGTAATTTTATATTTTTACTGACTACAATATTTACTATAAAGAGGTAACTTAAAAAAAAATTGGTACAATTGCTCATTTTCTATGTAAAATACACAGAAATCCTAAGAGTAATTAGTGAAGTAAACTAAAATATTAATGGTATTTTTCTTATATTTTTGTGAGGTTTGTATATTATTAGAAATCATGTAAACAACAAAGTTGCAGGCCCATGTTGAGTTTGCTGCATAAATAGTTTAGAAACACGTGTTTAAAACATCAGTGGAGTCAGACCCCCCCATCAGTAATTCCAGGGTTATGTCTACATTCTAAATCTATCTGGGGGTGTGCATGTTCCAAGAGCACTTGTAGGTTATGTGTACATCCTATATCTATTTGGAGGGGGGGAATGTGTGCATGTTCCAAAAGCAATTGTAGGTTATGTGTACATCCTACATCTACTTGGTATGGGGGGAGGGGGCATGTGCATGTTCTAAAAGCAAAGGGCATGTTGTTCTATGCAAAATGTGACATTGTTACGCATGTGCAGTGCAAACTTCAAGCTCTCCACCACAACAGAACCTTCACGAACGTCTGTAAAAGTTGTATCACCAATAAATCCATGTAAATCAGATTATCACTAACATGGGTGGCATCTTCCAAAGAACATATTATGCATACAAGAAACAGTTCGTTAGCTGATTGCATTACCGCGTCTGCGTACATCCGTTCTGGGTAATTCACGAAAGTTACGTACACGAAAGGATCTGGTTACAAACAGATTCCTTTGTTTTGCCTCGACTTGTAATACAAACTTTCATGCTTGCTATCGACTGTAAAGGAACCATCAAATTCTGCCCAGAGTCTGACACGCAAGATCTCGTTCAGTTCCATACTTAAAAACCGAACTAACAAAGAAAAATTTCCAAGCTGAAGAACTGAGTTGCGCTTGTGTAAACTTATCAAAACTTTTGGTCTTGCTTAAATACATCCAAGTGGAGATTTAAGAAATAAGACTTTCAAATATGATAGCAACCATAAAACAAACTTCTCGAGTGTAATAAAATATTTATCTTCTTACAGAACAACGAAAAGTAAACAATAGTTCGTAGTTTCTTACACGTGTATACGTTTACAGTTATCCATAAATATGTAATAATTAACGATTTGGCAGAATTGCATTTCATTTTTCGCAAAAAGTGTTTTCGTTTTTGAAGCAAAACTATCAATCGATAGTATGATTTTATTGATTTTAAAATCACTCAAATGAGTGATGAAGCTAGTGTTCACTTGTAGTAATGAATGTATGATTTTATTGATTTTAAACGGCTCAAATGAGTGATGAAGCTAGTGTTCACTTGTAGTAATGAATGTATGATTTTATTGATTTTAAACGGCTCAAATGAGTGATGAAGCTAGTGTTCACTTGTAGTAATGAATGTATGATTTTATTGATTTTAAACGGGCTCAAATGAGTGATGAAGCTAGTGTTCACTTGTAGTAATGAATGATTTTACCTTAACGTTACATGCAATGTTTAGTTGGGTAGTTTAGTTGG